GCAGCTGGAAAAGCTAAAATTAAAATTTAAAAATTCATTAGCATGGATGAGTGTGCAATGATGGGGAATGTTTAGACCTTGGTTAGGGGAGGGAGCCTAAAATCTAAAGGGCTTCTCTGAAAAGAAACTCTGCCTCCCCACAAGCCTGCCAGCAGTAGATGGTGTCCACGTTTTAGGATTTTGGCAATCTGATGGGTGAGACATTGTATATTCAGGCAATTAAAAAACCGTATTGAGGTATAATTAATATATAATAAATTGCACATAGTTAAGATATACACTTTGGTGTGCTTTGAAATGTCGTATAGCTGTGAAACCATCACCACAATCAAGACAGTGAACATCTCCATCCTCCACAAAAATTTCTTGTGGTCCTTGGTAATTCCTCCCTCTAGGGCACCCCCTTGCCCACGCCCACGCAACAGCTTACCCGCTCTATCACTGTAGATTCATTTGCGTTTTAAAGCATTTTATATAAATGGAACCAAACAGCATGTACTCTGACTTCTTTCACTGAACATAATTATTTTGAGTTTCGTCCACGTGTTGCATGCATCAATGTTCATTATTTTAATTGCAGAGCAGTGTGGATGTACCATAAATTGTTTACACGTTCACCTGTTGATGGAAATCTGGGTCAGTCTAGGTTGTAGTCATTACAGATAAAGCTGCTGTGAACATTTGTGTATGTCTTTGTGTGAGCATATGCTTTCATTGCTCTTGGATATATATCTGTGTGGAATGGCTAGCACATATGACGGGTGTATATTAAGCATTGTAAGAATCTGTCAAACAGCTTTCCATAGTGCTTGCACCATTTTACAGTCCACTAGCCATGTAGGAGAGTTCCGGTTCCTCCACATTCTCATAAACCTTGAGGGTGGTCCGTCTTTTAAATTTTACTTATGCTAATAGTCAAGCAGTGATTTCTCGTTGCAGTTTTAATTTGGATTTCATGTGTTTGTCTGCCAACCATTTGTCTTCTTCGGTGGAGTGTCTGGTTAGGTCTTTTGGGTTGTTTATTATTTTTGAGTTTTGAGAGTTCATGATGTATTCTAGATACAAAGTCTTTGTCAAATGTATGGATTGGGAATATTTTCTCCAATTCTGCGGTTTGTCTTTTCATTTTTTCAATGGTATCTTTTGAAGAGCAGAAGTTATTAATTTTGATAAAGTCCCATTTGTCAACTTTTTCTTTTATGGATTTTGCTTTGGCGTTTATCTAAGACATATTTGCTCAACCCAAGGTCACATTTTAAAGTGTGTTTTTTTTTGTAGTACATGGTGCAAGCTATGGATCAAAGTTCATTTCTCTTTTCTTGTGCATGCGATTGTACATCATTTTTTGAAAAGACTATTTTTTCCACTGAATTGAATTCCACCTTTGTTGAAAATCAGCTGTATACATATGAGTGAGTGTATTTCTACATCTGTCTTCTGTTTAGTTGATCTATTTGTTTGACACCAATAGCACCATTTCCTGATTACTGTAGCTTTATGATAAGTCTTAAATCAGGTTGTGTTAGGTATATATATATTTTTTTCTTTTGCAAAGTAAGTTGTTCTGGCTGTTATAGGTCCATTGCATTTCCATGCAAATTTTAGAATTACATGTCAATTCTGACCAAAATATCCTGCTGTGATTTTGATTCAGATTGTGTCAAATCTATAGATCAGTTTAGGGAGAATTTACATCTTAACAAATATTGTGTCTTCCAATACACAAATACGGTATATCTCTTCATTTACTTAAGTGTTTAAAAAAATTTTCCTTCAGCAATGTTTTGTAGGTTTCAGTGTACTTTTGTCAGATTCATCCATAAGTATTAAGTATTGGAATACTATTATTAATCATACTGCCTTTTAAAATTCCAGTTTCTGTTTTTTATTACTAAAGTATAGAAATTCAATTGATTTTTGTTGGTTTAGTTGAATCTTTCAAGCTTTCTAATCTCACTGATTAGCTTTAGTGGCTTTTTTGTGGATTCTATCAGGTTTCCTATTTAGACAACCATGGTGTTGTTGAATGAAGACAGTTTTTAATTTTCCTTTCCAATCTGGATGCTTTTTATTTCTTTTTCTTGCCTTATTTACTGGCTAGAACTTCCAGGACAATGTTTAATGAGTTGGTGAGAGCAGATATAACCCACTAGTTTCTGATTTGCTTGTTTACCATTGAGTGTGATATTAGCTGTGGGTTTTTCGTGGATAGCCTTTACTGGATGGAAGAGTTTCCCTTCATTCCTACTCTGACTATGATTTTAATCAGAAATGGACATTGGTTTTTGTCAAGTGCTTTTTCCCATTGAGATGGCCATATATTTTACTTTTTTATCATTTTATAGAGTAAATTACAATGATTGATTTTTTAAAAAACATTAAATCAACTTTGCCTTCTTGGGATAAACTCAGCTTGGTCATGATATACTATTCTTTTTTGCAATCTATTGTTAGTTTCTATTTGCTAAAATTTTGTTAAGAACTTTTGCATCTAAGTTCATGAGGAATAGTGATCTTTGGTTTTCTCTTCTTGTAATGTCTTTGGTTTTGGAATCAGGCTATCGCTGGCCTCATAAAATGAGTTGGAAAGTGTATTCTCACTTCACTTTTATGGAAGAGTGTGAGAAGAATTGGTATTATTTCTTCCTTAAATATTTGTTCAAATTCCCCCCTTGAACTTTGGTGCCTGGCATTTTCTCTATTGGAAGATTTTAAACTAAAAGTTAAATTTGTTTGAGTATACAGTATCTGTTTCTTCTTGAATAACAGTTGGTAATGTATGTACTTCAAGGAATTTATTCGTTTCATCTAAGTGGTCGAATTTATTGGCATAAAGCTGTTCGTAATATTTTATTATTTTAATTTCTGTGGAATCTATAGTAATACCAGTTTTTTTATTCCTGATATTGATAAGCTATGTCCTCCCTCCCTCCCTGCTTTCATTCCTTCTTTTCTTTCCTTTTTTTTTTCTTGAAGGGGAATCTGAAGTCATAGACTTGAGGTTTCTTTTCTAAATATAGGATTTGGTGCCATAAATTTCTCTCTAGTAAATATGTTAGTGACACCCACAAATTTCAATAATGTCGGTTCTGGACTGAGTTCAACTGATTTATTTTCTTCTCTATTTTGCATCACATTTCCTGCTTCTTTACTTGCCCAGTATTCCTTGATTGAATGCCAATCATTTTAACTTGTTGGGTGCTGAATTTTGTATTCTTGCAACTATTGTTGGGCTTTGTTCTGGTATGCGGTTAAGAATTTGGAAATACTTTGATCCTTTTGAGTTTAACTTTTATAATTTATTAAGATTTTTAGTCTATGGCTAATGATTCCTCACTATTGAGACAAGATCGTTCTGAGTCCTCTACCAAATGACCCCTGCCTTCCAAAGTCTTCAAGTCTGGCTGGTGGGAAACAGCACTATTTCCCATCTGTTGTGAGCACTGAATATTGCTCCCTGGAATCCTTTTGGGTGATTCTCTCCCTAGCCTCAAGTACTTTTCTCAACGCATGTACTGATGTCACTCTACTAAATAGTTGAGGATAGCCCCCTGCAGATTCCAGTGTTCTGGCTCTCCATAGCTCTCCTCTCTCCAAAACTCTGCCCTGCAATCTCTTGAGCTCCCCTGGGCTCTGCCTGGGTTCCCTTGCCTGCAGCAGTGTCTGGAAGGTCTCCCAAGGCAGAAATCGGGGCAACTCTAGGCTCACCTCATCTCTTTCCTGCCTTTCAGGGTCACTGTCCTTTGTTGTCTAACGTCCAACATCTTGAAAACTATTGTTTTGCACCTTTTGTCCATTTAAAAATATTTTCCAAGTGGTAAGATAAATCTGATCCTTATTACTATGTGTTTGTTGACAATCTTAGACTAGTTTTAATTTACCTTTCTCAGATGACAAGGTTATCATCTTCTCATACAATTAATATGCTTTTTCTTTTTCTGTGAATTGTCTATTCACTTCTTAGCTTATTTTTCTCCGGGGTTTTTCTTTCTCCTGAGGCTTTGGGAAACGCTACAGAGATTTGTATGTTAGGAATAATAACTCTTTTTTAATGTATTATGATTTAAATTAAAAATATTTCTCCAGTGTAATGTTTGTCATTTTAATTTTTGTGTTTTTTGTCATGCAAATGTTTTTAAATTTTTATGTAAAAATATTTTCCCTTATTGCTTCTAAATTATTAAATATATTTCTTACAAAACAGAAGACATAAATAATGTCTTCCACCTAATGTGGAAACCGAGTAATAGGTGGAAACCAAGTAATAGGTGGAAACCAAGTAATACAAATAAGCTCTTTAAACTTCTCCTGGGTGAGGGGCACTAGGTTCTGATATAATAGGTAGATTGTCAATACCCACATTTTTTAGAGAATAATATCTTAGAAATATATTTGCATTGTATATTTGCATGGGTCTGTGTTTAAAATTGGTGCTAAAGCTGGATATGGTGAACCTTGCTTGTTGTATTCAATTGTTCTTTCTTTTAAAGTGCTGGTTGTAGTGAAAGGGTCCATGGGAAAAAATTCCAAGCACAGGAACCCAAGCAGACAGGCCTGTAGGTAGAGATGGGCAGAGGCTAAACAGGGAAGCATAGCAAGGGAAAGGAGGTGCTGTTACTTACTGAGCATCTGCTATGTGCCAGGCACTGTGTAAGAGACAGATGTAGAAGAGAAAGGCTGCAGTGGGTATGAACATCTTTGGGGCTACTTTGTTTTTGGAATATCCGGCCTATATTTGGAAAATATCCCTCCTTATGATTTCGCTGTGGACTGAATGACTCTGTCCTCCTCCCCCAAAATGTATATGTTAAAGCCCTAGCTCCTAATGTGATGGTATTTTGAGGTAGGGCTTTGGGAGGTAATTAGGTTTAGATGAGGTTATGAGGGTGGGGCCCCCATGGTGGGATTAGTGCCCTTAAAGAAAGACGAAGAGCAGGAGATTCTCTCTCTCTCTCTCTCTCTCTCTCAATCTCTCTCTCTCTGCATGCACATGCCAAGGACCATGCTGCACCCTGATCTTGGCCTTGCAGTCTCCAGAACTGTGTGAAATAACTGTCTGTTGTCTCAGCCACCCAGTCTATAATAATTTGTTATAGCAGTCTGAGCTGACTGAGACCATACATGCCTCCCTAAAGCAGAAGCTCACTTTCTCAGTTTCCCTTGACATTCAGGACAGGTAGGTGAGTTGGGCCTCACGAATCAGATGCACTCACATAAAACCTTGATTTGGAAGAGAAAAATAATTGGATGAGGCACGCACATTGACAAATCCACTTTCTGGTATCGATTACAGCAGAGGTTACTTTCAGAGAGGGCAGTAGGGTAGAGGTTCCGGGGTCCAGCCTCCCAGTCGGCACTGGGAGCTGAGATGTCTGTGCTCACTGGAAATGGCAATGGGCGGTCCTCACTGCAGGTGACCAGCCAGGGGATTTGAACATTCATCCTGGATATGGTATTCTTTGAGGAGTCTGGGCGGGGGGTCCTTAATGTCTTTAAACTGGTATTGAGGGAACCTCTGCCTGTTGCCCGTCACTTAAGGCTCACCAGGAAGCTGACGTATTTGAAACTTGCAGCTTCTTCACAGCCGACAAAAATAAAAGGGAGATACATTTTTTAAAATTCTCCTCTTTTCCCTAGAAAACAGAGATGAGAGAAAACCCTTGTGTTATGGCCATTAACCATTTCCTTTGTTCATTCAAATAGGAATCTAGCTTTTTTTCTTTTTTCTTTTTTGCACCAGACGCTATGCTAAGTGCCAGACCACTGTGAACTGCAGAGGAAAAACCAGGATGTCAGAACTCTTCCACCGGTGGGGATATTAGAGGCCACAAAGCCTCCATCACTCAAAGCAATTGCATCCAAAAAAATAATTTTCTGCGGACCACATGGAGGTGAGATGTTTGAGGTTTCTGAACAGGAAGTCCAAACATGTTAATTTGATACATTAGCAGGGTCTGATTATTTTCCCCTAACAAGGTCACAGGAAATTTGTTAGCCCTGCATCAGAATCCTCTGGAAGAAAAATCCTCAGAGGTCACATTAACCCTTTAGTTCCCACTGCTGTGAGGAAGTTTCTATCGGGCAGTGCTTTACCTTTTGATGGTCATGGAAACATCTCAGACTCTCACCTTTATATGATGCCTCCATTTTCATCTATCCATCCATCCATCCATCCATCCATCCATCCATCCATCCATCCACTCATTCACTTAACCAATAGTTGCTGGAGCATCTGCTGTGGGCACTGCTGCAGAATCAGGGATGTGGCAGTGAACAGGACCCACAAATTCCCACCCTTCAATGAGTTAACATTCTCATGTCATTCTCTCACAGCTTCATGCAGCAACTCTCTAAAATCAGTGTCATTTTTCATACAAAAAAGTGAGGTGCCGATCACGCAGCCTGTAAGCCCTTTCCCAGTCTTTTCTCCACAGAGGAGCCAGGCTGATCTTTTTTAAAAATGTAAATCACTCCCTGCTTAAAATCTTCTAGTGCCACCTCATTGCTCTTAAGAATAAAATCCAAATTCCTTACCAGAGCCTATGAGACCGTGAAGGATATGCCTCCTGGCTCCCTCTGTGAGCTCGTCTCCCCCTTGCTCATCACAGTTCTGCCACATTTGTCTTCTCTTTGCTCTCCCAGGACTCTGAGCAGAGTCCTGCCTCAGGACCTTTGCACCATCTATTTCCGAACACTCCGCTCTCTGTGTATTTCCTTGGCTGATTTCTACCATTCAGGTTTCAGCTCAAATATCACCTCCTCCAGTAGGCCTTTTGGGACTTGTCCCCTTACCTGAATTAGCACACACCCACCCCTCTTTCCCCCATGCCCTGTTTTATTTCTCACATGACTGTGGCAGTCAGCTTTCTTAGCAGCAATGTGGACTCCAGCAAACGAACTCTGGCAGATACAGAGGTGGTGCAGGGGAACAAGCTCTTGTTCACAGCTAGATGCGCTGGCTTGCTCTTCTGCCCCTTACTGGCTGCAGGGCATGAGACAAGCATCTTAATCTCTCCAGTCCTTAGAACATGGAAACCAGACCATGTCTTTCCTCTGCTCAAAGCCTTGTAAGGGCTTCCCATCCCGGGCAGAGAAAAAGCCAGGTTCCTTTCTTTGCCCTGTAAAGCCATCCAACTGGACCCATTCCTTGCCTGACCTCTTCTCCCACTCCATCCCCCACTGGCTCTGCTCCAGCCACTTCTGCCCTTGCTGTTCTTTGAGTAGCCAGGAACGTGGCTGCCTCTGGGCCTTTGCACTTGGTGCTTTCTCTCTCTGGAATGCTCTTCCTCCAACACCCATGTGGCTTTCAAGTTTTCATTCAAGCATTACCATCTCAGCGAGACCTTCACTAGTTGCCCTATTGAAAATTGCAACCCCACCTCCTCCCCAACCCCTGTCCCTTTCCCTCATTGATTTCTCCCCTTAGCACTCATCAGCTTGTCACGTACTGTCATTTGCTTATTTGCTGGTTTATTGTCTGTCTCCCTCCACCACAATGACGGCTCCATGAGAAACGATTTCTGTCTGTTTTGTCAGTGATAACGTTCTAGCATCTAGAATGCAGGCACAGGGTGGGCAGATCGGCTGAATGAATGAGTGGACAAGGTTTGGTTCCTTTATTCCTCTTATTTGCAATGGATAGTCAGAGTCGCTTCCTGATATCAGGGTACTGAATATGGAGTGAGACTCAGGCATTAGATTCCAGCATGCTACCTGCCAGTGCTGGCCATCTCTGGTCCCATCCCTGCTCAGCTCTCACGCTTGGCTTCCTACCCAAGACAAGCAGCCCAGGAAACAGATTCAGTCAATGCTCTTGACCTTGAACATCTGAGGGCTGTGCTTGATGAAGTCTTAAAGCCGGTAAGTATCAGCAGCTAAGCTCTCTCTGCTAGATGGTCAGTGCAGAGGCAGTAGTGGCCACACTTAGGCAGCCATGGGGAGAGGACAAGGACAGTCAGCTGTAGAAGGAAGGACACAACTGACCTCTGCTTGCTGGCAGACGGGGTGGGCTGCAGAGCTGATGAAAAAAGAGGCTCCAAGTCCTGTGTGTAAGAACGTGCGGGCTCAGTCACACTGCAAGGGCCTGAGTCCTGGGTCTTTTATATCTGTGTGATATTGGGTGTGCTGGTTAATTTTATGAGTCAACTTGGCTGAGCCATAGTGCCCAGAGATATGGTCAAACATGACTCTAGGTGCTTCTGTGAGGGTGTTTTTGGATGAAATTAACATCTAAGTAGGTGGACTTGAGTAGAGCAGGTTGCCCTCCGTAATGTGGATGGGCCTCGTCCAGTCAGTTGAAAGCCTGAATGCAGAAAAGACTGACCTCCCCTGAGCAAGTGGGATTTTCTGCCCACAGATGGCCTTTAGGCTGGAGCTGTAGCCTCAGCTCTCCTCTGGGTCTCCAGCCTTCCTGCCTACCCTGCAAATTTTGGACTTCCCAGCCTCCTTAAAGTAAATCTATATCAACATGCCAGTGGCCCTCTGTATCTATGGTTCCACATCTGTGGATTCAACCAACTGCAGATCAAAAATTTAGTTAGACCCATGAAAGTTGTGTACGGATTTTTCCTTGTCATGATTCCCCAGACAATACATTTAACAACTACTTAAAGCATTTACATTGTATTATGTATTATAGGTAAACTAGAGATGACTTAAAGCAGTGGTCCTCAACCTTTTCGGCACCAGGGACCAGTTGCATGGAAGACAATTTTTCCATGAACTGGCAGGAGGGGGTGGTTTTAGGATGATTCAAACCATTATATTTATTGTGCACTTTATTTCTATTATGATTACATTGTAATGTATAATGAAATAATTATACATCTCACCATAATGTAGCATCGGTGGGAGCTCCAAGCTTGTTTTCCTGCAACTAGATGGTCCCATTTGGAGGTGATGGGAGACAGTGACAGATCATCAGGCATTAGATTTTCAAAAGGAGCACACAACCTAGATCCCTCACATGTGCAGTCCACAATAGGGTTTGTGCTCCTAAGATAATCTAATGCCACCACTGATCTGACAGGAGGCAGAGCTCAGACAGTAATGCGAGCAAGTGATGGAGAGTGGCTGTCAATACAGATGAAGCTTCACACATTCACCCAGCACTCACCTCACTCACCTCCTGTTGTATGGCCCGGTTCCTAACAGGCCATAGGCCAGATGGTTTGTGGCCCAGGGGTTGAGGACCCCTAACTTAAAGTACATAGGAGGATGTGCTGTAGGTTACAGGCAAATACCACACCATTTTATTGTATCTGCGAGGGGTCCTGGAACCAATCTCCTGAAACCAAGGGAGGACCATATATACACATTCTATTGGTTCTGTTTCCCTGGAGCACCCTGAGTAATACAAGGGAAGTCTTTTCATGCCTCAGTGAACCTGGGACTCAGTTTGCTTGTCACTGGTGATACCTCCAGAGCCAGCTGATGTGAGTCCCCACTCCCTCAATGGCTGCTGGCCTTGGGCACATAACTGAACCCCTGTGTGCTCCAGGCTCCTCTGCAAAGTTGGGAGGGTAGTAACAGTGCCACCCTCAGAGGGTTACTGTGAGAATTAAATCCTTTAGTGCCCATGAGTGCTGAAGGCTAGAGATGCACTGGTCTTTACTATCAGGACATAAGGATTGAGAAAATCCATGAAACTGCTCAGCATGTTAGTAGCTTGCTAGGTGAGTGCAGCTCACACCAAGTTCTCGGCACCTGTTAGATGGTACTATTAACACAATATTTATTTGTAAATTACTGAAATCTTATTCACCAGATAAGAATTGAACCCAGACCTACAAAAAGCCTAAAATACTTGGGAAACAATAATTTACCTTAGGAGGTAGTCAGCGGTCTGGTAACCTCAATCAGCTGAAATTTGCTGGCAAATTCAGGAATTGAAAAATCCTAGAGATTCTAGGTCAGAGGGTACAAACTTGCAGTCATGTAGGATGAGTAAGTCTAACCTAATGCACAGTAGGAGGACTGTAGTTCATAATATTGTGTTGTATGCTGAACGTTTGCTAAGAGACTGGATTTTATGTGTTCTTACCACACACACACACACACACACACACACACACACACACAGTAACTATGTGAGGAGACTGAGATGTTAATTTGCTTGACTGTAGTTGTCATTTCACCATGTGTATCAGAACATCATGCTGTACACATGAAATAGATACAATAATTAATAAACAACTATCCTAGAGAGATGAGGGATAAGTATCATACGAAGCCACACACTCGATTCTGCGGGAAGGTTCATGGGATCCTCCTTAGGCCCCATGCCTGCTGGCACAATGTCTGTTGTAAAAGGAAGCATTGGACAGTGGCCTACCTTGAAACCCCTTGGGATTTTATGCTCAATTTTGGAAGCCTGGCATCCATCCCAGTGCCCCTACAGGTAAGGACTTATGCTTTTATTGAATTGCATGTAATGACAAGAAGTTAATATCAACTGATGGACCTTAGAAACTAAAGAACTGGCCAGGTATGGTGGCTCACACCTGTAATCCCAACACTTTGGGAGGCCGAGGCGGGCTGATCACCTGAGGTCGGGAGTTCGAGACCAGCCTGGTCAACATGGCAAAACCCCATCTCTACTAAAAGTAAAAAAGTTAGCCAGACGTGGTGGTGGGCACCTGTAATCCCAGCTACTCAGGAGGCTGAGGCAGGAGAATTGCTTGAACCAAGAGGTGGAGTTTGCAGTGAGCCAAGATCACGCCACTGCACTTCAGCCTGGGTGACAATAGCGAGACTCTGCCTCAAAAAAACAAACAAACAAACAAAAAAACCAAAAAAAAACAAAGAAAAAAAACACAAAAAACAAAACAAAACAAAAAAACGTAAAGAACTGAATCAGTTCTTCCCATTTCTGTACCATCAAGGGCATTCATTCATGCATCATATATAAGTTCTGGAACACAAATTTCCAGTTGATATTTTTTAATTCAAAAACAAAAGATGGCATAAAAACTCAGCCACATGGGAACATTCCTGAGTATTAAGCTCCCAATGTATTTCACCTTACAAGCATTTATTGAGCTCCTACTATGTGTCTAGAACCACATTAAGTGAGAGGATGTTTAAGATATGTTCTTAGTCTGAAGGAGGTCACAGTCTAGCCAGGTTCACATATTTCACAATATTTATTGGCATGTGAGTAAATAACAAACTGCTATAAAACTTCATAGGTGGGTGAGACCACTGTGGGTTATAGAAATAAGGAAAGGATTCTTTGGGGAGGTAAGAAGTGAATTGAATTATATCACGAAGACTTTGTTGGTGTCTTGGAGGTAACTATAGCACCTCTTTCTTCACCTCCTAGTTTTGAACCAATTAAGACACAGGAGCGAGACAGATGGCGATGAAAATATCATGCTAAAAGGCTGCATTGACCCATGTACCTGAGGTGGGTAGCCACATGGGTTTCCTCCTACTTTCCCCCCTGAATGAGGTAGACTCATTCTGCCAGTCATATGTACCACTGACCAGCATAGGTTTCTGAAAGGAATGGCTGAGAGGAGCATGCCCCATTCAGCGAGGAGGCAAAGAGAGGCTACAGATGGCTCTCAAAATCTCTCCCGGAGAGTGGAATGGAAATTCTTGGCCTCTGTGGAAACATGAGGGGTAAGCTATACATATATCCTTGTATGACTAGTAAGTTATGCCTAAATTAAATTTGGTTTGGAAGTGTGTAACAAAAGCAGTGATTCTGGATGGGTATATTAACAACATCATCAACAACAACATCAACATTAATAACATCAACAACATTATCACATCAACAATAGCAGCACAGCAGTAGTACCAACAGCAGCAACAATAATAATAGAATAACATCTCAGCAACAAGAATAAAAATAGCAACAATAGTACTGTCAACCACATCAGCAAGAACATTAACAGTAAAATGCCAACAGCATCATCACAACACCCACAGTAGCAATGTTGACAGCATCATCACAACACCCATAGTAATGTCAATGGCATCATAACAACACCCACAGTAACAATGCCAACAGCATCACAACATCTACAGAAACATCATCACTAGAGCATCACCAGAGCATCATCACTACTTGCACAGTAACAACATCAATAGCAACATAACAGTATCCAGAGAAACAATATCAACAGTGTCATCACAACGCCCACAGTAAGTGTCAACAGCATCATCACAACACCCATAGTAACAACATTAGCATTATCACAACATCCACAGTAACAGTGTCACCACCACCATCACAGCATCCACAGTAATAGTGTTAACAGCATGATCACAACATCCATAGTAACAGTGTTAACAACATCATCACAACATCCACAGTAACAGCCTCAACAGCACCATTACAACATCCACAGTAAAGCATCAACAGCATCATCACAACATCCACAGTAACAGTGTCAACAGCACCATTACAACATCCATAGTACAGCATCAACAACATCATCACAACACCCACAGTAACAATGCCAACAGCATCATCACAACGTCTACAGAAACAGTGTCTAGAGCATCATCACTACTTCCATAGTAACATCAACAGCAACATAACAGTATCCAGAGAAACAACATTAACAGCATCATCACAACACCCACAGTAATAGTGTCAACAGCATCATCACAATACCCATAGTAACAACATTAACATCATCACAACATCCACAGTAACAGTGTCAACAGCACCATCACAACATCCACAGTAAAGCATGAACAGCATCATCACAACATCCACAGTAGTGGTGTCAACAGCATCATCACAACACCCACAGTAACAATGCCAACAGCATCATCACAACATCTACAGAAACAGTGTCTAGAGCATCATCACTACTTCCATAGTAACAACATCAACAGCAACATAACAGTATCCAGAGAAACAACATCAACAGCATCATCACAACACCCACAGTAACAGTATCAACAGTATCATCACAACATCCACAGTAACAGTGTCAATAGCATCACCACAACATCCACAGTAACACTGTCAACAGCATCACTGCAACATCCACAGTGACAATGTCAACAGCATCATCACAGCAACAGTAGCAGCACATCAGCAGCAACAGTTGCCGCAAAATGGCAACAACAGTGGTATTAATAATAAGAAGAACAGTAGTGAAAACATTGTCATCAGCAACAGCAAAAACATCAGCAGCAACATAATCCGCAGCAACAGCAGCAAAAATAGCAACAGCAGTAGCAGCAGCAGCAGTAACAATAACAAAAACAGCAGCAACACCATCAACAGCAATAACAAAGCTAGGTAGCATTTATAGAGTGCTTATCTCACACCAACCTCCAGGCTAAGTACTGAACATGCATGATCTCATTTAACCCTCACAGGATTTATCTTAAACAGTGGAATAGAGAGAGACTAGATAAAATTATGCCCATGAGATAGGTGTAATCCAGTAAAAAAGGACTCAGTTGTTGAGCTGGGTAGGTCTGGGTTCTAATCCATATTCTTTTGTTATCTAAGCAACCTCAGGCAAGCTCTTTAACTTTCCTGCATTTCAATTTGTAATTTCCAAATGGGGAAAAAAACTGCACCCTGGATTTGTCGTGAGGACTCAGTGAGGTCGTGGGGTGAGGTACTGCCACGTTCCCACGGGGTCACCTGGGTGGGAAGGCATCTTGTCAAATCAGACTCAAGAGGAACCACTGGGAGGATGAGGTTGTGGCTCTGCCCACCCCCTCTCTTCTCCAGTATTCTTTGTCTTTTCATCGTGTTGGTCTCTCCCAGCTGGGAGCTGTCAGAAAAGCTCAGAAGTTGGGGGGAAAGGCAGCCTTTCATCCCCTACGCTTGTCATCCTCAGCTTTTTGCCGATGCTCAGTTCTTTTTTCCTAGGGAAGATAAAAAGAAAACACATAAAACCCCACAAACATAAATGCATCAGACACAATCCTACTTCTTCAAGGCAGAGTCTCAGGAGACTGCCTTCTAAGGGGAAGACAAAGGGAATTGGACCTTTGTCCAACTGGGAGCAGGCTCTGCATGTGTGTTCTCAGGAGACTTGGCACAAAGGCGAAGGTTGGCTCTCCACCTCCCATTAAATGTGGACACATTTTCCGGAGGCCTTGTGTCTGAAGGCAGCACAGTGCCTTTGAGAAGCTGGTATGCTGGAAACAGCACACTTAGAATGAGCACCAAAGAGGATGGCTGAAGCAACTCCCCCACCTTGGCTGACAGAATTCATCTATGAATATAGGTACTCACCCCTCCTTCTGTGCCAAGCATCCAATCAATGAAATGATAGTTATTCTTCCCCATTAGCTTCACGAAGTCAAAGTCTGCTTTGTTTGGTTCACCACTGTATTCACCATTACTGTTGTCCCCAGTAGGTCATATTCTCCCAGAAGCAGAGCCTGAGCCAAGGATTCAATGCAAGGGATTTGTCGAGGAAGTGCTCCCAAGATGTACCAGTGAGGCAGTGGAGGGTGGAGGACGAATAGGGGAGGAGAAGAGACTCAACAAGTGTATCATCTTGGGTGACACCCCAGCCTCATCTTGGTCTTAAGTGGTGTGCTGAAGCAGAGATATATCTCAGGGTTTGTCCTCTCCAAGGCACAGGTGCTGGGCTTTTTTATTCCCACACTGGTGGTCACTGGCTGTGGGTTAGGGGGGATGGGAAGGGCTGAGAGCGAGTTGCCAAGTTGTTCCAGCTCTCCAGGGAAGGCCCCAGTGCTCACTGACAGGGAAAAAAATTGTTAAAAATTGGTTCTTTGAATTGTGAGTCTTGTGAATTTGCTTCTGGATGTCCATTGGTAATTGATCCACAGCCTCCCAGGAAGTCCTTGTTTTTCTTAGCAGCAGGGCATGCAGGAGCTGGGCTGGATGCACAGGGCTAGTAAAAGGCTTCAGAGGGGGGTCTGAGCTGGGCACCCTCAGGGTCTGCTATGTTTTTCTTTAAGAATTGAGAGAGCGCAGTAAAAAAAAAAAATAGGATTGCATTGATTCTTTTCATGCAGACTCCATGATCTGGACAGAAAGTGACCTTCATTGATGCATTCCAGTTGAGTGAGCACTGGAGACTGTCGCACTGGGGTTTGGGTCAAAGTTCCAGCTGGCAGCAAAGCATTCTGGCTCTGTTTTATCTGCAGCGTCTGCGGTTCCTGTATGTGGAGGGAAGAAGGCTGGTGTTCCCAGGTCTCCTTTTATATAATTATAAAATGAGCTTTTATAATTATAAAAGCAATGCATGAAAATAAACAAAATCAACATTCCCGAAGGGGCTAAAATATGCTATTTTGGTAGGTTGACTATTTCAGTTAAAGGCACTTGAAAAACAGCAGGTGCAAGGAGATCAGTCTGAACTTCATTTTCTTAAAAGCAGAAGATGAAATTCCCGTGTGAAAGATGTCATCCCTACACTAGAGAAAAAGCAAGGTTCTTCTCATCAGGGACAAGAAAGTTGAAGTGGAATGAATTCTGTACAAACAAGCCTTGTTCGACTAAGTCTTGTCATGCTGGCTACTTCTCTATCCAGTTAACCACCCTAGCCCAAGACCTTTTGCCTGATCACATGTTTACAGTTCATAATTCTTTGTCAAATCTGGTATAGAATTAACTGACTCTGACAGCTTCTTTGGGTCTTTATTTCTTTATGAGGCTCCTATGCTATGTAAAACTTGTATTGTGCTTTGCTCCTGTTAATCTATGTTATGTCCATTTAATTCTTGGACCCACCTGGGACCCTAAAAGAGTGAAGGAATATTCTTCTGTCCCAACAGTTTCTGTCCTAAAAGGCTGAGCACCTTCCGATTCACTGTGGAGCCTGCAAATGGGATCCTGAGGGGCCTAATAAACGATGGAAGAAAGTAGCAATTCTTATCAAGGTCAGCTCTCCTGGATTTCTGTCCGTAGCGTCCAGTTGAAAGAAGAAGGTAAAAATTTTTGCATGTTCCTTCCTGCCCAAATTCAACTGACAGGGAAAAAAATTGTTAAAAATTGGTTCTTTGAATTGTGAGTCTTGTGAATTTGCTTCTGGGTGTCCATTGGTAATTGATCCACAGCCTCCCAGGAAGTCCTTGTTTTTCTTATCTCTGTCTTTTTTTGTGTGGGTTGTCATAAGGAGGAAAATTATAATTAATTAGATTTGAGGTAGGAGGCTGGCAGGGCTTGTTTTCTGGTCATGACCCTGCTGATCTGGTTGAAAGGATATGGTTGAAACAGAAGGCAGTGAAGAAGTCAGCCAAAATAAGCAGATGGCCATGAAAGTGACCTCTAGTTGCCCTCACTACTCATTAGCATAAAGACATTCCCATGGGTGCCATGACAGTTTACACATGCCATGGCAACGGGCCATAGCAATGGCCCGCAAATTACTGTATATGGTTCTGGAAGCTCTCTGCCCCTTTTCCAGAATGTTCTGAATAATCTGCCTCTTCATTAGCATATAATTAAAAGTGGGTTTAAATACACCTGCCAACAGCTTATACATTGCTGACTCTGGGCACGCTGCTTATGGGTTAGCCCTGCTCTGCCAGGAGCAGCCCTGGTTCAATAAACATTGCTTTCTCTCACCACTGGCTCACCCTTGAATTCTTTCCTGGGTGAAGTCAAGAACCCTCTCAGGTTGATCCCCAATTTTGAGGTTCACCTGTCCTGCATCTGACTCTCCTGCATCTTCTTTGAAGTCATAAGAGCTTGGGTTTGTCATTAGTGGAAACGTGCTCTTTGGTTTCTATCAGCCTGGGGCCCGAGCTGTTGGGCTTCTGCTTAGCAGTTAGCCAGCTCTCCAGGATTCTGAAACACAAAGTGTCTCTTTGTATGACTGCGCCAGCTCTCAGGAGAGTTTGTCATAATCGTCTCAGCCTTTGTTGCCCTGTTAACAATGAGGGTCTTTACTTTCTTAGGTATCCTTGGAGGAAACTTTGAATCTGGGGGGGTGCGATTTTTGTGCCCTCTTTATGGATGGCTCTTTTGTCCATGATTAAACCATAAAAGGATGATCAGTTTTGAGTGAAAATTGAAGTAAGTATACCTTTGAAGATTTGGACTTTTGTATCTAAAAGTATTTTTTTAAGAGAACCCTCATCCTAAACAACTGTCCTGTTGGTCTAAATGTGAAGATTTGGCTTAAAAGAAAAAAAAAAAACTTATATAAATTATTATCTCAGAAAAAGAGAAACTAACCTAAGTGTTTTTCAAGTTCATGTGGTTTTAGATAATCTTTGGTAAATAAAAACCTACTTAAAGTTTGTTGATTTAATTAAACCAGGCACGTTTGCTGCATTGTCAACATTAAATACAATGCGCACACACAACTTCTTCTACCTGGACTTACTAATCTAAAAGCTTGTGTATGTTTCAGAGTGTAAAATTATAAATTCAACCTAAGAACAAATTAATAAATAATAAGTTGCTTGATGTATGAAAAACATGACAATTTAAAAAATTGAAAAGAGCCATATGTTGTACCTTTGTCTTTGTTTCTGTTTTTTTTTTTTTTTTTTTTGTGACTTGGCTGATTTGTCTATAAGAAAATAAGACAATGACTAGCTTTGTTTAATGTCTCATGAAGTCTTAATTAACAATTCAGACATAATTGTTAAAACCAAGTAGACTTAATAAATGTAAAGAGGGCAAAAGTTTATAAATGACCCTTTCAACAATGGTTACCTTTTATAAAATATGTGTACTTGACAGACTAGATTAAGAAAATATGGCACATATACACCATGGAATACTATGCAGCCATAAAAAAGGATGAGTTTGTGTCCTTTGTAGGGACATGGATGCAGCTGGAAACCATCATTCTCAGCAAACTATCGCAAGAACAGAAAACCTAACACCGCATGTTCTCACTCATAGGTGGGAACTGAACAATGAGATCACTTGGACTCGGGAAGGGGAACATCACACACCAGGGCCTATCACGGGGAGGGGAGAGGGGGGAGAGATTGCATTGGGAGTTATACCTGATGTAAATGACGAGTTGATGGGTGCTGACGAGTTGATGGGTGCAGCACACCAATGTGGCACAAGTATACATATGTAACAAACCTGCACGTTATGCACATGTACCCTAGAACTTAACGTATTAAAAAAAAAAAAGAACAAAGGACAATAAATAGTTCTAAATAATAATAAAATAAAATAAAATAAAATAAAATATGTGTACTTAAAACTAGTTTCCAAAATATTTTTTTGCAAGCTAAAACCTTAAAATTATACTTGGTTAAATTAAATGATTGACATTTGTTGAATATCATAATCATTTCCAAATAAGATGTAATACTGAAATATTAATTGCTGAATATAAGTTTAACCTTCTATTCTTTTGGCTTCCTTTTACAGAATAACAAAAGATATTTGGATCAGTTAATAAATATATCCTGTGCCACACCGAAAAATTGTTCAACAATAAAGCGTATATATTTCAGGAGTAATGAAATAATATATTCACAAATCCATAGAAGTTTATAATTGTTTATTTCCTGGCTTTCTAGTTTTTACTAGAAATTAAAGTCACTAAGAGTTAAGAATTCTAATACAAAAACTGCTAGAAATCATGAAGGAAATACCTCAATATGAAAAGCTACAATGAAGGTGAGATGTTATAAGGAATAAAGTTGTGTTTTTTTGCTATCATTGAGGAAAAGAATAATTTTGTCGGTTTCGAGGTTCAAAAGGTTGCTTCAGGATGAATCAATGAATAAAGGATAAAAACTGGATGGATATAAAATGTTAGAGAGAGAGAGAGAGCGCTAAAGAGAGGATCTAGTCAAACTGACTAAACTGAATGAATTTATTATAAATGTTTTTAAAATGACCCTTAATATCATAAGCAAACTGATGCAAAACTAGAATTTTGTCTTCTCAATTATAAGGACAAAATTTTTTTTGAGCACTGATCTGCTCTTGATAAGAGATTTATTGAAATGTTTTCCTGTTTCTTTTTCTTTTCTTTTTTTTTTTTGTTTGTTTGTTTGTTTGTTTTTGAGACATAGTCTTACTCTGTCACCCAGGCTGGAGTGCAGTGGTGTGATCTCTGCTCACTGCAACCTCCACTTCCTGGGTTCAAACAATTCTCCTGCCTCAGCCTCTTGAGTAGCTGGGATTATAGGCATGCACCACCCTGCCCAGTTAATTTTTGTATTTTTAGTAGAGACGGGGTTTCACCATGTTGGGCCAGGGTGGTCTCGAACTCCTAACCTCACATGATCTACCTGCCTTGGCCTCCCAAAGTGCTGGGATTACAGGTGTGAGCCACCGCGCCTGGCCAAAGTGTTTTTCTTTATGCTTGAAGTAATTTGCCTAGAAAACAGAGATTTTGTGTTTAATTAAAATGATTTCCTGCCCTTTGTATTGTCTTTATTGTCTTTGATTACTTAAGTAAACTAAGTGTTCTCAATATTAAAAAAGCTAAAGTTTTTTTTTTTTTTTTTAATGATGATGTAACTTTCTGTATTTGCCTTTGAAATCTTTTGTCACTTTGGTGTTATTTCATGATCTATGATCGTGTTTTAATTAATAATTTTAACTTTTTGATATTTTCGAAAACTTCCCAAAATCAAATTTTTAATTAAATCTATTTGACCTTAAGCTAACTTTAGAATTTTCCAGATGGGTATCTGGAGGATTACAAAAGATTTATTTTCTCTCTTTATAAAAAGAGATATTAAACCAATTAAGCTTATTTGCTATATTAAAGTATACAGAAAACATAGTCAAAAACGATATTTAACCTTCATGTTATATTTATATGAATGTGTATCATAATATAAGTGTTCTAAAAATTATATAAAATTTCTAAAAATGTTATACGTTCTAATACATTATCAGTAATGATTCTAGTTAGCATGTTAAAATGTTGTATGTCATAGATATAACCAAATTCCTTGTCAATTTAATCATTATTTTAGTGAACTCTTATCAGATCCTTAACCATGGCCATTTTGAGCTGTCGTTTTTCGCAGACAGCTGTTGTTTATTCTGATTCTTCCTGAAGGAATTTACAAACAGCTACTGTCTAAAGTTGCTCCTTTTTCAAACAGAGTCATAGAAAAAGCCTCTGCAAGTACTCTAAAACACAGGTTTTCTAGTAACTTTCAGACCCTATAGCCAGACTGGGTAAGAATTTCCAGAACTCCAATGAAGAAACTGATGGGTTCTTGAAAGTACTATCACAAAATCAAGCAGAATAAGAGTTAATGACATGGGACTAAACAAACCGATGAAGATAATTTTTTATGCCTTTTGTCTGAAACACTGATTATTCTTTAACATTATGCTTTACAGATTCAACAAAAGTTTTCTGTTTTTTTTCTCTTAGCGATGTATTAAGTTAGTAAGGCATACGTTAGTAAACATAAAGGAGATATTTATCTTTTTTTCCTACCAGATCCCCCCCAAATTTAGAAACTGTCAGTGAGTATTCTTATTTTCATGGCAATATGGCTGCCTACATGAGTTCAATAAGAATCTGTTCTCTTTACAACAGGATATAATTGGAAACACTGGTTATATTATTAAGGCTTTGACTGGAATATCACATTTCCAGATATGACTAGATAACGTTAAGGAACTAAGGTTGACTTTATGGAGCCAATGCTTATAAAGCTTTCTTGGAAAAGCTGGCCTGGTACCTAGCTTAAAAAGGCCATGCCAGATGTCTGAGCTACAGAGACATGGGCTAATGATTAGGTGTTATTTTATGTTTCTAAATTTGTGGTAATTTGTTACACAAGAATAAAAAGCTAATACAATAATATACAGCTTTCCAAGCCAATGAAAATAAGTGTTCCTACTTCTTTTGCACAATATTATATTTTTTGCTATTATTTTGATGTAGCAAAATATATTCAAACATATTCCTCTTTATAGGAAAAAAAAAAAAAAAGGCTGTTGGCTTTATAGCTGAGTAAGGAATGTCACTTTCCGACAGGCCCCAAACCCTCAGGATATTTTGGGAACTTCAAGAAGAGAGGAATTCACTAAATCTATAGGTATCCCAGATGAAGTCTAATGCTAAGTCCTTGGCTTGGTTTCCTGGCCTTTAGAGGCTTTTAAAGGTACAATCTGAGATTCCAGCAAAGTAGACTTTTAAAAAAGTCTAAATAATCCATCACTATTCTTTGCTGCACTTATGTAAATAATCAGGCCAAGTTTAATGAGACTACATTATTTGACTAACAAATCAGTTTTATGTTGATTACCTTTGGTAAAAATGCGGTGACCATGTTGCAGGCCTTTCCCTTAGTTCAGCTAAAGACAGGGGTTCTCATCACGTGACCGCGAAAATATAAGTTTGCAGACAAATTGAAGGGTGCACAGTGCAGGGATTTATTGGGTGAGAAGGAAATAAAGGGGGGAACAGGGACTCTCTGTAAGGCCAGACTTCCTCTAGTGTGCTTCCCACCTCGTACCTTGAATCCCAGGTCCCACACAGGAAGAGGAGGGGCCAGGCTCCTCTGGGCTGCAAACTGTGTGAACTTCTCTGGCTCCACCCCAGTGCACGTTCCCAGTGCACAGGCCAGTTGGAATTTTGCCAGGGACCCCCCTCCCCTCTGGCTGTCTCAGTTTTAAAGAGAAAAAATTATATTTCAGGAGAAAACTATACTGTATCCATTGTTAGATGGATACATTAGACCTACTCATTGTTTTTGAGGTTTTTATTTACCTATATAATAGTGACTAGATTGTAAATTCTTCTAGTTTCCTCCAACATCTGGCTATTAGTATCCAAACTAATATTTCCACTTTTCTCCCACTCTTCTGACTTGGAATCACCAAAAATCAAAACTGTCCTTTTCTGGTATTCCTGTAAGCTGAAACTGGACACTTTAATACAGACTTCAGTGAAGTCACTGTAACAGCTCATATATGAACAACCTTTTCAACATGCAAATGGCAAACCAGGGTAACCTGCCAGATTGTCACTGCCTGTCCCACTCCAGTTGGAGATTCTTTGAACCCAACATCTAGACATCTCAACCACTGCCCTCTGGACTCCAAGACTTAAAAGCAGAAGATGAGATTCCCATGTGAAAAATGTCCTCCCTACACTAGAGAAGAGGCAACATTCTTATCATCAAGGACAGGATAGATGAGGCTGAAGGAATTCTGTACAAACAAGCTTTGTTAAACTAACCCTTGCCATCCTGGCTACTTTACCCAATTAACCACCCTAGCCCAGGATGCTTTGCTTTATCACATGTTCGCAGTTTGCTATTCTTTGTTCAATGTTGTAACTGACTGTAACTGCTTCTTTGGGTCTCTGTTCCTTTATGAAGTTTCCCAGGCCATACAAAACTTGTGTTACTCTATCTTCTCAGTTTAATTCTGGAACTCAGCCAGGCCCTTAAGAGGATGGAGGCGAGTTTTTCCCACAGCAGTTCTGAATGGGATGAAGTGAAAAATAAAATCTCCCCATTGCCACTACACCACCTCCAGGTGAGTCCTGCAGTAGAAATACTGTTTAACTTTTTCTGCTTTTATTTTTTCTGATTATCATCTTTATCATTCAGTTTTATATGTTCATATCTATGTGCTTTGATAATTATATTACATACTTTTGGTTATTATCTACTTACTCATTACATTGAAAAAGAAGAGATCTACTCTACTTGCTCTATAATCTACATCCCCTTCCCTCCTACATTTCTTTAGTTTTCTTGATTTGGTTTCTTATTGAAACTAGAGGTAGACTGACTGTAAATAGAAGTAAATAGAAAGTAGTTTAAGCTTCAGGACCTTTAATCTCTCAGGCTTCTTCCAATGTTCTGGACCTAATTTTGTTAGGTCTCAAACTCTTTTCAGTGTTCTGGACCTAATTTTGAATTTGCAGTATGTACTCATGTTCTTTAAAGACAGTCTCCAAGTTAGATAAGCTCCAGCCATTCAAAATCTAGATCTGCCCCATTAACTTTATAAAGTCAGTATAACAACATTAACAAGATATAATCACCAGAAAATGGCCCACTCAATTGGGCACTAAGATGACTGAATAGGAACAGCTCCAGCCTCCAGCTCCCAGCGTGAGCAACACAGAAGGCGGGTGATTTCTGCATTTCCAACTGAGGTACTGGGTTCTTCTCACTGGGGCATGTCAGACACTCGGTGCAGGACAGTGGGTGCAGCCCAACGAGCAAGAGCCAAAGCAGGGCGATGCATCGCCTCACCCGGGAAGCACAAGGGGGAAGGGAATTCCTTTTCCCAGCCAGGGGAAACTGTGACACACAACACCTGGAAAATCGGGTCACTCCCACCCTAATGCTGAGCTTTACCAAGGGTCTTAGCAAATGGAACACCAGGAGATCATATCCCGCACCTGGCTCAGAAGGTCCCACGCCCACAGAGCCTCCCTCATTGCTAGCACAGCAGTCTGAGATCTAACTGCAAGGTGACAGCGAGACTGGGGGAGGGGCGCCTGCCATTCCTGAGGCTTAAGTAGGTAAACAAAGCCGCTGGGAAGCTTGAACTGGGTGGAGCCCACTGCAGCTCAAGGAGGCCTGCCTGCCTCTATAGACTTCACCTCTGGGGACAGGGCATAGCTAAACAAAAAGCAGCAGAAACCTCTGCAGATGTAAATGTCCCTGTCTGACACCTTTGAAGAGAGTAGTGACTCTCCCAGCATGGAGGTTGAGATCTGAGAAAGGACAGACTGCCTGCTTAAGTGGGTCCCTGACCCCCAAGTAGCTTAACTGGGAGACATCCCCCACTGGGGGCAGACTGACACCTTACACCTCCCACAGCCAGGTACAGCTCTGAGACAAAGCTTCCAGAGGAGCAATCAGACAGCATCACTTGCTGTTCAGCAATATTCTCTCTTCTGCAGCCTCTGCTGCTGATACCCAGGCAAACAGGGTCTGGAGTGTACCTCAAGCAAACTCCAACAGACCTGCAGCTGAGGGTCCTGACTGTTAGAAGGAAAACTAACAAACAGAAAGGACATCCACACCAAAACCCCACCTGTATGTCACCATCATCAAAGACCAAAGATAGATAAAACCACAAAGATGGAGAAAAAGCAGTGCAGAAAAGCTGAAAATTCAAAAAATCAGAGCACCTCTCCCCATCCAAAGGAATGCAGCTCCTCTCCAGCAATGGAACAAAGCTGGACAGAGAATGACTTTGACAAGTTGAGAGAAGAAGGCTTCAGTCGATCAAACTTCTCAGAGCTAAAGGAGGAACTACAAACCCAGTGCAAAGAAACTAAAAACCTTGAAAAAAGATTTGACGAATGGATAACTAGAATCTTTTGTTGGGCATTACCTCTGTAATTTCCTCTGAATTTGAATGTTGGCTGCTTTGCTAGGTTGGGGAAGTTCTCCTGGATAATATCCTGCAGAGTGTTTTCCAACTTGGTTCCATTCTCCCCATCACTTTTAGGTACACAATCAGAGTAGATTTGGTCTTTTCACATAATCCCATATCTCCTGGAGGCTTTGTTCATTTCTTTTTACTCTTTTTCTCTAAAACTTTCTCTTCTCGCTTCATTTCATTCATTTGATCTTCAATCACTGGATACTATTTCTTCCAGTTGATCGAGACAGTTACTGAAGCTTGTGCATTTGTCACGTAGTTCCTGTGTCATGGGTTTTCATCTTCCTATCAGGTCCATTTAACGGACTTCTCTGCATTGGTTTAT